GTCTTCTCTTCTGCTGTGCTGATCTCAAGCAAATATTTGCTATATAATAAATGAACCCAGCACATCTGAACTTCCGGGGGCTGTTAACCTCTATCTTGCTTCACCTGCAAGTGATGTAAATCTTGAACTACTTATCCACTGTGCTTAGAGTACAGCATATCGTGGTGGATACCATTTGGCTGGAGGTCAGAAATTAAAAGATGTGACTGAGTTTCTCTGACTATCTTACACAATATCCATAATCTCTAGCTTGTACGTTTCTTTTCATTCTTTCCCCACTCCTTTGTCTTTCCAAGTCGTTGCACTTGTGACTTAACCAGTCTTCAACCTAATGTCGATGACAAGTGTTGTCTGGCTTTTCTTGTTTTATATGATGGTAGATCTACTCTGGCGTTAGCGAGCTCCCTAATTCCTCTTTCATCCCCTGAAGTGACGAAGTGCTGTTTATCGTTTTCTTTTCAAACTTTCACCCCTCTGGTGTCTCTTTCTTTATCACAACATTGGTCTGTGTCTAAAAGTGAACTTCAATGAAGCATGCCGTACATGGCTTTTCCTATCAAGATTTATTTAAAAACCATATAAAAGTAATACATTAATTCCTCAACAGTGTTGCAGACCTGATTTTTTAGAGCAATTTCCAAGAAGCACATCTCTTTGTTGTAGGAACTCCCTGTTTGTCCAGTCCTATTTTCTAACTGCATTATCTAATACAGGGTCATGGGAGCTGGAGCCTACCCATGCAACACTGGGCAAAAGGCAGGATACTGTACATCCAACAGAAGCACCCAGAGAAAATGTTCATGAGCACAGGGAAAACAAAAAAACACTGCCGCCCAACGTTCCACTCGTCTTATGCATAAATTCACATGAAGAAAAGGTTTTCAACCCATTTAATATTATTCCTTTTCCCCTCAGTATTGTATTGCCTGTGATTCGTTCAGTATAGTGTAATTAAGCAGTGCAGCTATATGAAAAGTCATGAACTTAATAAAGCATTAAAATAACCCCAAACTATCAGTATTTATGCACAAATGATATGACGCATATGGAAATCATCTGTAGATTTATTCTGTAAGTGAAGTGAGAGTAGCACAGTTCTGCAGTGGAAGGTTGGGAAAAATAGATCGGGGGAAATAGTTGCTACAGGAATGCACCGGAATAAAGGGACATGGTATAAAATGGATGTGGCGATTATTTAATATTAAGAACAAATAAAGGAATTAAACGGTCTGAGGAAAATTGAGTTTAAAAATAGGCAGAAAAAAAGTAATTGAGGAACAGCAGCCCCAGCTCTGTGGTTTATATCATAATACAGTTCTCAGAATGGCCAGGAACATCACAGCTTATTCCACACAACCACTCCATTCTCGATTCATAATACTCCCATCAAGAAGACCGTATAGGGGACCAAGTTCAAATACAAACAGTTATAAGAACTCTTACATACCTTCTGCAATAAAACTGCTTAATGAATGTAGTCCACACACTGCCTATTTATCAATTTACTGTATGTACAGTATGTCGCATACTGTTGTTGTGATTTCATGTCCTCCACATGATTTTATGTAACTTTTATGTTTGCTTCTGTGTATTGCAATTTTATGGGAGAAGCCAAAAACACATTTTCACAGTAGTGGACAATAAAGTATCTATCTGTTTAGCTCATCTTAAGAAAAAGTGCAACTGCATGTTTTTGAAAAGAAGCTATTCTGTTATGAGACAAGATGGATTTGGTGATCAAGCTTAAAACATTGAAATCTGTTTTGAGAAGTTGGCTTGAGGAGGAGACATTGAAGAGGAAAGTTGGTTTTCTTACCTCAGCTCTTTCTTAACCTCAGCTGTGAATAAATAGGATTTGCCTGCGCTAGTCATGTGACAGTACTATGCATGATGAGAATGAACAGAATGAAAAGCAAGATTTCAAATTTTACTTCAGCTGTGTCAACTATCGCGAGAGACTGATTCCTTAAAGGCTCCCACAGAAAGAAAATGTTAATAAACAGAATGCAGAAACCTGACAATTTGGCCAAACAAAGATCTACTGGGGGAGGAAGAAAGATAAGCAGACAGGCATGGAGGCTCTGCAGATAAAGAAAATAAATAAATAAAAATTCTGCAGACAGCCTCAGACTGCAGGGAGGAAGTCAAATTGCAATTCATGGAGTTAATGTCTCTGGAATGACTCATTGTGAACAAGAAGGCTGCATATATTTGTGCAGTGTTCATGTCAGGCATAAACTGCACAGAATAGTCATTCCTGGAATCTGATTGCCAAGAGGCAGCTCATTTAGAACAGAACTAGAAAAACTCCTTCTGAGCAGCAAGCAATGGAAGACTAAGAGCAACCATATAATCTTATCAAAAAGCATAAAAAACAAACTCTTCTCAAGGAAACGTATTGGACTCCTTTTTTCCACATTAAAAAAAATTGTTCCTAATAATCTAAACCAGTCCTAAACTGACATAATGTGTACTATGATTGTTTTAAAAGACGTCTTTTTCTTGTCCGTTTAATATGTGGATTGTATCATATTTTTCAGTGTAATCCGATTATGCATGTTTTGAATTTCTTTTATTGCTTATATGTTGTTTTTTTACTTTGATGGGATGAAGAGAAATGTGGTGAGCTATCAAACAGAAAGAAATCTGCTTTAATGCATTTGCAAAATTGTTCTATTTTATAAACCAGGAAAAAAATAGTACAGGTTTATTTAGTAGTTTCAATTTGAATCAAGCAGATTAAATAGCCCATTCGTAAAACCAATGATGATCATAGGATCCTCTAGTTTATTGTTGGCTTTACTGTTTTTTCAGCTCTTCAGGAGTTATTTTCTCAAAAACTGCATACCACTTTTTTCACTACATAACAGTAACCTCTTTATCTAATGTTATAAAAAAGCTTTTCTCTAAAACCATTTCATACTGCTTTGAACTCACTTCATTGTTTTATGATTTATGATACAGGAACGTCTAACTTGAACTTTGATTTAATAAAGTGTGGCAGCTTCGATTTAAATTAAATTAAAATTTATTTTCATATCTATGATTTGTGGAAGAAAAGGAACATGCCAGTGAACAAGAAATAAAATATACTGTAGAATATTAGCTCCTGTGCACTGTTAGGTAAGCTCCATGATGTGAATGTTTCTTTAAGCCCCAGAGTAACAATTATTTTTTTACAATGTTGACATTTACTATTGGATGTACATGATGTTAATACTTTTTTCCCCATGTACAGTAGCTAGTAGCTGTTATTGAAGTTCTGTCTGCAGTAGTCTGAAGGACAAAAAACAATATATATCCTTTAACAAAGAAGTGTATTGATACAAAGAGATGGTAGGAAATATACAGCACAGGTATATCTTTGATTTGACATAATTTTACAACTTTATGAAAGTGACTGTCAAATGCACTAGTCTTCATACCAACTAATTCAAATACAAATAGAGGAAAAGCTTTATTATTTGTCATTGTAATAGCATTAGAAATAATATATTTTATTTTAAAAAAGACAGTAGAATCTATAGTACATCTTGTGGTATGTCTAAAGCTGACATTTTAGATGTACTGTATTATTAATCTTAGGAATAAAAAGCGTATAGGATTGTATCTAAAATCATAGGGTTTTGCATCCAGGATAACGCATGAATTGCTCTTATGTTCTAAACAAAGCAGCCTTTCTACATTACAAGACTAAATGTACGGTATCTGCAAAACAGGAGAGTTTTTTGTTATTTCGTTATGTCATGTTGTTTCAGCTTTCTTTTTCTGTGAAATGTGTGATTCCCAGGACTTCACTAATGTAGCAATAGTAGTTTCCACTTTCTAGATTGATACTGTATAATAAGAACTGACATTCAGAAATAGCAGTAGAAATATGGGCTTGTTTTAATATTAAAGGCTATATGTTTTAATGTTTAAAAGTAGTTAGTACTTTAATAGAAATAGATTAACACCAGAAAAGAAAGAATTATGCACTCAAGTACAAGCATATGGTCATGGGCTCTAAAGTGTCTGAATTAGTTCTTGGAGTGCTTGAACTCTATGGTGCAGACACCCGTACTTCAACCTTGGGCCATGTCATTAGTTGACTGAGACGAAGATTCCTCACGTAGCTGTGTACTAGTGATTAAGTACCATCATGACTGGATGGGCAAGAGTCGGATTGGGATTACTTGGCTTGCTGTGCCACAGTGACTCCTGGGACCTTCTCGGTCCATGCAGTGACATCACTGCGAGATGTCCTAGTATTGTCATTGGTGATCACTCTCCTGTATGGCACTGTGGCGGCTTGCAGCATGTCAATAGGAGAAGAGCTCTGATGGGAGGACATTTTGGAAGAGTGATTTTATGGGTTAGTATTTCCTGAAAGTGACGATACTATGTTGGCAGAGTAAGCCAAGTTCACTAACAACCGATGATTGCAGATTGGTTTGACATACTGTAAATTAGAAATTAAATGAAAATATAAATTTTATAAATAATTATATGAATGCAGGAACATCACCTTTTAATTAATCCCAGCAGACGTTAATGTGCTCACAATAATGTGAAGTGGGATTCAAAGCAAAAAGGTAACCCCCAGTAAATAGGTTTATACTAAGCAGTTATTAATTGTCTTTTCTGTTGTCAGCTTTCGAGTTTGGTAAGGTAATGGTTTAATATAAATTAAGTAATGTGTTTTATTATTCCAACATTGACTAGGCACACATGGAATTGTGCAAATAAAATGATTCAATCTTATTTAATCTTGTGTCGCATTTATCAAAGCGTTTCATCAGGGAACTGAGGTATGAGATGGAGTAGTTAGGTGAGGTGCACATATAGTGATTGGCCAATTTACAGTACATTAGAGATTGGATGTTCCAATTTTTATAGTGGACATGCTATGTATGTGAGTTTCTTTACATTTTGTATATTTTTAAACTTAGATTTTTTATAAAACAGACTTATGCTTCGTAAGCAGTGATCACTCTTAATTTTGCCTTTTCTGTACACAGGTACTATTGAGCGATGCTCCTTCATCAAATACCACTACTCTTCAGCCATGATACCGAAAAACCTTTCCTACAACATCACCAAGACCATTCGACAGGATGAGTGGCACTCCTTGCGTGAGTTTAAACTTGGTTTGGCTTGATTCTCTTTGCAATGTAAAGCTGGATTTTCCAAAGGTTGCTAAAATATTTCCAGGTTATTTGGAGATGCTACCACAACTGTAAAGGATACTGTAGTTGTGCTTAACTGCATAACAGTATGTTGCCGTGGTCTTGTAAGACCATAACGCTTTGGTTTTTCTGTCCAACAAGTGTTAAAATAAGACATAACTTCAGACCTCACTAGTATAACATTGCAGCTCTTTCCTTTCATCATTTATGTATTTCTGCAAATATGGGTGGGACTTGAGCCTCTTGCCTTGGGGTTGCTTTTGGCTGCTTTAATCAGTGAAGCAGAGATATCTTTCTTTCATAAGGTTCCTCTGCATTTGCCAGTCCCACAGGAATATCTAGTTGTTTAAAGCATGTGGGAAGAGTGTCTCAGAGTTTGTGTACCCAGTGCAAGACTCTTCTGTGATGACCTGAAACTGTCTTTGGATAGCAAGTCACTGAGCTGGAGAAATCAGCTTTGTTAAGTGACAGGAAGGTGCACTTTTGAACCCAAATTCAATGGAATTTGTCATTTTAATATTTAATTCTATAGGAGAGCACTGGTATAAATGAATTCCTGGAAGTTCTTTATAAAGCTGTTTAGTGTACACATTTAGATAAAAGATTTGTGAGTTTATTTAGTACAGGAATTATTAATGAATTAATTGATAATGAATTGTTAAACCATAGTTTTGAACTGGAGTGAAAAGGAAGTTTCAATTAATACTGCTCAGATAAATCTCACTTCAATTTCTGCTAGTATTATTCATTATAAATCTAAATAAACTCGTATTAATCTTGGAAATCTGGTTAAAATACATGGTTTTTGGAACTGTGTTAATCATGCAAAATACA